CAGAACCGCTTCGGACTTCCACCAGAGTTTCCTCTGGCTTCATCCTGCTCAGGCATAGTTCACCATCTTTCGGGTCGCAGTAATTACGCTCTACCGCCACACCATTGCAAGCAATCGGCATGGGGCCATGTTGCGCCGCAAGTCCGAAGACAAACGGATCACATGTCAGCACCGCAAGGATGCCTTTACTTTCATTTCGCCAATAGGTTTTACACCCAATGACTCGCGCAATTACTAGACTTCTTGGTCCGTGTTTCAAGACGGGTCGGATAGGTGGTCGACTTTTCACACCGAGAACGAGTCCAACTCGCAGCCGCCCACAACACGTACGCCACAGCCGACACAAGAGGCAAGCCTCCGCACCGACCGAACGCACGCTAGCAAGCAACCGCGCAACGGCAGAACCCGCGCTTTCGCACACTTACCCTCCACAAACAACCTCCACCACTGACAAGACACCAGCCTAGACTGGGCAACGCCAACAGCTTCAGAAGGGGAAAGCAAGCGCCTCAGCGTATACCGAGCGCAAATGCACAACGGGCCGCGCTAACGACAGCAAGCAACCAGCCTTTCGACTAGCCCACTCACCGCCGCCGCGGCAGCACCCGAAGTTGAATGCTTCCGGTTTCATCAACTCTATCCGCTTCGCCACCAGTGGTTTCACGTCCTCTTGAACTCTCTCTTCAAAGTTCTTTTCAACTTTCCCTCACGGTACTTGTTCGCTATCGGTCTCGTGGCCGTATTTAGCCTTGGATGTGGTATACCACCCACTTTGAGCTGCAATCTCAAGCAACTCGACTCCAAGACGCAAGCCAGCTCGCGCTACCACAGTCCGAACGGGTCTTACACCCTCTCCGGAAGTTGCGTTCCAGCAAACTTCAGACCGCGGCAACACAAGCCAGTTACGCCTATACGCAACACTTCGCCACGCCCAAAGGACGGGAGATTCTGCGCTGGGCTTTTCCGTGTTCACTCGCCGTTACTAACGGAATCCTTGTTAGTTTCTTTTCCTCCGCTTACTGATATGCTTAAGTTCAGCGGGTAGTCACGCCTGAGTTCAGGATGCAAGTTACTGATATATCACAACCGATGCCATGAACAGACGCTCAATAGACGCCTCACAAGCCTTGTAGCCTTCAACGTCCGCTCAAAGTTTACACCAAGCAGGAGAAGGTACGCTGACTCGCAAGACTCGCGCTCGCTCAACGACACCGAGGATTCGGAGCAAAGCCAGTTCCGAAGAACCGACTTCACGTGTTGCATTCGATAGAACGATTTCCTGTTTGCAACGGGTACACACAAGGCGCACGCGCTACGACTCGGTCCAATGGCAGACAACCCAATCGGACACAATACAGTACAATCATCCCTGAACCAGACGTGCGGCTGGGGCATGCCCCGGCCGCGCCATTTGCATTCAACATTTCAACGCTCATTGTTTCTGCAATTCGCGTCAATTATCGCAGCTAGCTGCGGTTTTCATCGATCCACGAGCCAAGTGATCCACCACTGATAGTTGTACAAAAGCCTTCCAGTCACTCACGCAACTTTCAAGCAAATAGTCATTAGTAATCCAGAAAAATAAAGCCGAATGGTGGCGGTAAAGACCTTTAACGCCAGCAGAACTCCGAAGAGACCCGCTTTGACGACCGTGTTGGCGGCACCTATGCAACAGGCACTCTTTAAAACTGGTCTAGACATGACCCTTCGCAAAGCTGTCGTCCAGCATGACGGATGGCACACTGTAGGCTAAGCGTAGTTACCAACGTATCCGTAGGCATAAAGCATAGTACGTAACTGGTTGATCATTAAAAACGAGTTTCGTCAATGATCCGCGGTCAGGTTCTCCTAATCGCACCTTGTTACGACTTTTGCCCGGTTCAAGCCACTGCGATTAATGCGATTTCCATCACCGCGAGGGTATTAGCCCCACAGCAACAGTCCTCGCATTTCTCGAAGCAACTCAGTCCCGGGCAGCGACGGGCGGTGTGTACAAAGGGCAGGGACGTAATCAACGCGAGCTTATGACTCGCGCTTACTGGGAATTCCTCGTTGAAGGGAAATAATTGCAATTCCCTATCCCGATCACGGATGGTTTTCAGAGGTTTGCCCAGCCCTTTCGGGCCAGGAAAAGAACATGCTGATCCATCCAGTGTAGCGCGCGTGCAGCCCCGAACATCTAAGGGCATCACAGACCTGTTATTGCTCAATCTCGTGCGGCTAGAAGCCGCTTGTCCCTCTAAGACGAGTAAGCGCCGAGAGCACAAGGATCTCGGCGCCGAGTTAGCAGGTTAGAGTCTCGTTCGTTATCGGAATAAACCAGACAAATCACTCCACCAACTAAGAACGGCCATGCACCACCAACCACCGAATCAAGAAAGAACTCTCAATCTGTCAATCATTACAGTGTCCGGGCCGGGTGAGTTTTCCCGTGTTGAGTCAAATTAAGCCGCAGGCTCCACTCCTGGTGGTGCCCTTCCGTCAATTCCTTTAAGTTTCAGCTTTGCAACCATACTACCCCCGGAACCCGAAGACTTTCGTTTCCGGGAAGCTCCGAGGCAGGGCGAAATTGCCACCGCCTCATCGCTAGTTGGTAGCGTTTACGGTCAGAACTAGGGCGGTATCTAATCGCCTTCGATCCTCTGACTTTCGTTCTTGATTAATGAAGACATTCTTGACAAATGCTTTCGCAGTAGGGCGTCCCGCTACGGTCCAAGAATTTCACCTCTCACGCAGCGATACGGATGCCCCCGTCTGTCCCTCTTAACCATTACATCGGTTCTGAGACCAACAGAACGAACCGAAGTCCTGTTCCATTATTCCATGCACGAATATTCAAGCGAAACGCTTGTCTTGAGCACTCTGATTTATTCAAGGTAAACGCGTCAGCCACGACTGCTACCGGTGAAGGCAACAGCCGAAAACCAACAAAACAGTCCGGAGACACAGTTACACACATGGTGTACCGCGCTCACAGACTCAGATCCAACTACGAGCTTTTTAACCGCAGCAATGACGATATACACCTTGAGAGCTGGAATTACCGCGGCTGCTGGCACCAGACTTGCCCTCTCATAGGTTCTCGATAAAGGGTTTACATTGTTCCCATTCCAATAGCGAGACTCAAAGAGTCTCGCCTCGTTATTGATAGTCACTACCTCCTCGCATTAAGAGTGGGTAATTTACGCGCCTGCTGCCTTCCTTGGATGTGGTAGCCGTTTCTCAGGCTCCCTCTCCGGAGTCGAACCCTTATTCTCCGTTACCCGTTACAACCATGGAAGTCACATGGACTACCATCGAAAGTTGATAAGGCAGACACTCGAACGATACGTCGCCGGTGCAAGACCGTGCGATCAGCGAAATTATTCAGAGTTCACCGTAACGGGCAAGCCCGATTGGTCTTATTCTAATAAGTGCGCCCGTACGTTAGTCCGGGCTTTGGTGCACGTATTAGCTCCAAAATTATCGCAGTTATCCGTTTGGATAGTCAAGATCGAGTAGATTATAGCTGTTTTAATGAGCCGTTCGCAGATTCACCATTAACCGATGTGATCTTAGACATGCATGGCTTAATCTTTTATCGAAGCATATCACCGCTGGCAGGATCAACCAGGTAACCGCTAGATGGAAGCGTAAAGCGACCAAATAGTGGAGAACAACGCTCCGCCAGACAAAAGTCCGGCAAAACGCAGTACTTTCACAACAAGAACCAACAATACGTGAATAGAGCTAGTTCGTGGAGTTGCAAAGAGACATTGTAAGGCTAACCCAACATGTGCCGACACGAATGCCACACAAGCGGAGTGTACGTGCGGACGCCGAATTCGTCGTTCAAGCGAAACGCAAGAACTGAATCCAACAGCACTCTTCCTTACGACTTGCTTCGGAATGAACCGCGGCAACCAGGAAAGAGGCTTCGGCACTTGACAGATCGAAATTTACGGGGAATCGCTGGACTTGCCATCTGGCCATGTGATTTCATTGCGTTTGGCAAGGAAAGTGCCTGACCGACTGAAATTTACGGGGAATCGCTGNTTTAGGGAACAAACACGCTCTTCAAGCAGTTTCCCTAAATTGTAACACAGCCATTTGGCTTTTTAACTTTTTTTATATAAAAATAAAACAAAATAATGGATTTAGCTCCTGAAATCGCTTGGTGTCCCTCCGATTTGTTTCCCCTTACGATTGCTCTTCTATATTGACGGCAATTAGATTTAACTTTTGTAAACATGTTATTATTTTTTCTATATTGTAAACTCTTTCAGTCGTGCCTGAGGAAGGTTTAATTGTAAAACCGAAACAGCTGTAGCACCGATTTGCCAGTTTAAATAAACTATTTTTCGTCGTACATTCAACCCCAGGGTAATTTAATTTAAAACCTTACGATGAATATCGAATCTCAACTCTCTAAATTCATAGCAAAGGCGGTTGAAGCCAAACACAGAGAATTTTATTTAGAGAAGAAATTACAACAAAATATATTACGATACCGTCAAAACAAATTAAACACAAGACCGGAACAACTGGTCGATTCCAAATGTCTGCAATGTTCTGGATACCGGTTTTTACCGAAGAAGCGTCATTGCAGCAACGCATATGGAAGGCTAAGAAATCCCGATTAGACAACAAGCGTAAGCTTTAGTTTTAAGTAGTTGATTAGGAGCATGCTTAGTATGTAGAATGGGAAAAGGTAATGGCAAAATGCGCTAGATGGTAGGTAACAGTGCGCCTCCACGATGGCAGGACATGGGAACCAAGTTTTGGTAACTGTGCAAACAGAAATAAAAATCGAAAACACGGCGAAGCACTGTTGCTGTAGTTTTAGTTGCCAAATTTTTCTTTATTTTTCTGTATAAATGATTTTTCAATTTTATTTTGATTTTTTTGAAAACTAGAATTAAGTTGCATGTTAGTAATAAAAAGTAGATAGAATTAATAGAAGTAAATTCCATGTAAAAATAAAAGTAGATAGGAATTAATACGATTAAATTGCATGTTTAATAATAAAAAGTAGATAAGCAGTACAATGATCAATAATGCAGGTATTAATTTGCATAAATAAAGCATGTTGTTAGTTGCTTGGTATTTGGGAAGTTATAAAGAATGTATTGTTTAAATTTAAACTAAGTTTTGAAATGTGTTTCATTTTGTTATTTCCTGATTATTTCTCATAAAAATGAATTAGTATTGTACATCAATTCTCTTTTTGTATTCAAAAACGGTCTAGTTTTTGTATTTTATAGTTGCTAGACTAAAAGTTAATAAAAGTAAATGTAAGCCCCAATCCCTAGCACGAAGGAGGTTCAACGGGTTACCCGGGCCGCTCGGCCAGGGAAGACACGCTGATTCTTTCAGTGTAGCGCGCGTGCGGCCCAGAACATCTAAGGGCATCACAGACCTGTTATTGCTCTATCTCGTGCGGCTAGAAGCCGCCTGTCCCTCTAAGAAGAATTAATTGTACGCCGACAGTAAAAATCGCGCGAGACCACGACGCGACCGTCGGGCCGGTGGACCTTTGAGATGTCGAAAATACGCCTAGTTAGCAGGCTAGAGTCTCGTTCGTTATCGGAATTAACCAGACAAATCGCTCCACCAACTAAGAACGGCCATGCACCACCACCCACCGAATCAAGAAAGAGCTCTCAATCTGTCAATCCTTCCGGTGTCCGGGCCTGGTGAGGTTTCCCGTGTTGGGTCAAATTAAGCCACAGGCTCCACTCCTGGTGGTGCCCTTCCGTCAATTCCTTTAAGTTTCAGCTTTGCAACCATACTTCCCCCGGATCCCAAAAGCTTTGGTTTCCCGGAAGCTGCCCGCCGAGTCATCGGAGGAACGTCGGCGGATCGCTAGCTGGCATCGTTTATGGTTAGAACTAGGGCGGTATCTGATCGCCTTCGAATCTCTAACTTTCGTTCTTGATCAATGAAAGCGTTTTTGGCAAATGCTTTCGCTTCTGTCCGTCTTGCGACGATCCAAGAATTTCGAGCTTTTTAACCGCAACATCTTTAATATACGCTTTTGCAGCTGGTGTTACCGCGGCTGCTGGCACCAGACTTGCCCTCCAATTGATCGTAAGCCGCAATAAAGCATTAACTATAGGCAACGGCCACACCACATTGAACGTACCGGTCGGCCAGTTCGACTCGAGCCCTCGTACCGAGCGGATCGTTTTTTACCTCTCCTGAGTGCCGAGTGTATTTTAAGCGTTTTTTAATAAGTGCGCACGTGTCCTAACGTTGTGCCCGTCGTAACAATTGAAAGTTCTTCTTAGAACTCTGCAACGAGCGCGAACAAAGAAACCCGGCTTAAGGGTCGAGTCCGTCCGGGACGCAGGTACCGTAGTGCGAGCGAAAACGGTCGATTTGTGACTCTTAAGTTTAATAACTTTCGTGTTTAAAAATTAACAAGTGTCGAATCCCAACAAAACGCGGCCCAAAGTGGGCAAACACAAAGTGGTTGGAATCGTCGGGTGAGGAATCCGACGCTACGGTGACCACCGAAAATAGTGTAGAAATGGATTAAGTATCCAGTGACGAACAAACATCTCCCAAAAAACCCAAATTCGACGTCAAAAACATAGCAAAAACAACCCAAAACCCCCAAAAATCAAATCCACTCCCATCAACATCGCAATCAAACACCGTAGCAACTATTCCCACCTCGAACAAGTACTCCCTTCTCCGCGAAGTCTTCGATACCCCAAGCTCCAACATCAATCCCCCCATCCAAAAACCCATTGCAACCAAAAAAAACCACATGCCCGCCGATTGCCATGCACATCGACGGCCCATCAAATCATAAAAAAATAACAGATGATCTCAACAAATGGATCGGAAAAGATCACTACACCCTCCGTTACACCCAAATCGGGTGCACTATATACTCAAAAGATTCCAACAAACGTAAAACAGTTATAGAAAATCTAAAATCATCCAATACTCCATTTCACACCCACACCCCTAAAGAAAACCGAGAACAGGCATTTGTAATCGACGGCCTGCCCCACCAAATTGATCCCCAAGAAATCTGCGAAGACCTTCAAAACGAATACCAAATCACCGCCACCAAATGCTTCCGGATGAGGGGAACCAAATTCCCAAAATTCCTCGTCACTCTTCCCAATATCAAATCCCTAAAAACATTACAAAGTAACGTCAGATACATACTAAGAACCCGCGTGTTTTGGGACCACGTAAAAAATTTCAAAATTCTAATTCAATGCAAGAATTGCCAACAATGGGGGCACGCCACAACTAACTGCTACACGAGGCCGCGTTGCGTAAAATGCACGGGGGAGCATAAAACCGCCGAGTGCAAAATCACCATAGAAAATGGTCTCCCGGTATCTACGTAGAGTTGGCCCCCACACGGCCAACTCTACGGCGTGCGCCAAATACGCCGAAGCCCTAGCCCGGAGAAGTATCCGGCTAGGTGAACAAAAACAAGATCCTCCCCGTAGAATAATACCACCAGCGCCAACATCCATGACGACCCCATGGAGCGTCATAGCGGCTAGAACGTCAACCACCAACCATGGACCCACCACTCCACCGCCCAAACAGCCCCCGCGCCATCAGCACGCCTCCCCAACGGTCAGGTAAGTCAGTCAGACTTTTTCGAACTCGGCAACTTAATGGCTGAAATAAACGGTCTTATCAACCTCCCAGCCCTCATCAACGCATTAAAAACCTTCCGAAATCAAGTAATTAACGACAAATCTCCAGGAAACCTCCTCCACGCTACTCAACTCCTTTGTAATAATCTCTCCAATGTCTAGCATAACTATCGTCCATTTCAACACAAACAGCCTCATCCCCAAAATCCTCGAAATAACAGATTTCCTTTCCCGGTTTGACGTAGATATCCTGCTCCTCAACGAGACAAAACTCATCCCATCCGATAAAATCACCTTCCCTGGCTACACCATCTACAGAAAAGATTTCTCCCACCGCTCCAGAGGCGTAGTAATCCTTATCAAAAACACCATCCCGCACGTAAAAGTCCCCCAACCCGACCTCAACCACCTAGACCTCATCACACTAAAACTCTCCAACAACCTCCACATCTCAACCCTCTATAGCAGTCCCAGCTCCACTCTGACTGACCAAGACCTCTCCCAATTAATAATTCCCCACAACAAGATCCTTATCCTCGGTGACCTCAACGCCCGCCACTTTTCCTGGGGTTGCCACATCACAAACACAAAAGGCCGCACCCTCTTCAACTTCACGCAATGCCGAAACGCATTCGTCCTAGCCCCGCAAAAACCAACCCATTACCCAGACAATGGATCCACTCCCACAACAATAGACATCGCCAAAAACGTCCCCGAACTCCCGGACCCAATCGCCCTCAGTGACCTATCATCTGACCACTGTCCCGTCCTAATCAAGCTCCAACAACAACCACACTCCCCAACAGAACAACCAAAAGTCCTAAACTTCCGCTCCGCCAACTGGTCCCTTTACAAACACATCATCAACAACTCCATACAAACAACACCTACCATCGACACCACACAACACCTAGACAACGAAATACACACCCTCACATCCGCCATCCAAACAGCCAAAAACGCCGCCATACCCCTCATCACAAAAACATCCCTTCATCGCACA